TGTAAGGTGGTATCTCAATGTGGTTTTGATTTGAGTTTCCTTGATGGCTGATGATGATGAACCTTTTTTCATGTGTCTATTAGACATTTGTATGTCTTCTTTAGAGAGGTGTCTGTTCAAGTCTTCTATTTTTTGACGTAATTATCTGTTTTTTGGGTGTTGAGTTTGAGTAGTTCTTTATAGATCTTGGATATCAGCCCTTTGTCTGTAGTGTCATTTGCTAATATCTTCTCCCATTCCTTGGGTTGCCACTTTGTTTTGTTGACTGTTTCCTTTGGTGTGCAGAAGCTTTTCATCTTTATGAAGTCCCAAAGTTCATTTTCACTTTTGTTTCCTTTGCCTTTGGAGACGTGTCTTGAAAGGCGTTGCTATGGCCGATGTTGGAGAGGTTACTGCCTATGTTCTTCTCCAGGATTTTGGTAGATTCCTATCTCATGTTGAAGTCTTTCACCCAATATGAGTTTATCCTTGTGTATGGTGTAATAGAATGGTTGAGTTTCATTCTTCTATACATAGCTGTCCAATTTTCCCAGCACCATATTTTCCCTGTCCAATTTTCCCAGAAAAAAAGAGACTGTCTTTTTTCCACCGGATATTTTTTCCTGCTAACATTCAGCATTTTTTCATTCATTTACTAAATATATACCAGGTTCTAAACTATACCCCTGGTAGTCTTCTGGGTCTTTCAGATAAAGTAACAAATAAAATAATATCCCACTGCAGGATAGCAGATCCATACTTCAAGGTAATTGTGAGCGACCATGCCTCTTGGTGGGGTGAGGGGAAAGACCAGCAGGATCTAGACCTTCCTTTATCTTTCACTCTTGTTTTTGGTGAGACTCCCTTTTCAGTAATGAAGTGTATCACTCATCCCTTACTATGTGACAATGCAGGCTATGCCTCACAACTTGACACCCAATGGCCAGTGAGCCAGATGGAACTGACCTGACACATGAAAACTCAAATAATAGTAGTGTATGGTGCCATGACTAGGCATTTTGAATACAGTATTAGTGAGCTTATTCAAGAGTAGGCTTTAATTAAAGAGAAAATGAGAAGAAAATAGAACTTTTATCTGAGTAGGAGGAGAGAGAAAACAAATATATCATATGTCAGATAGCTGTAAATGCTAGTTAAGGAAAGAGAAGGAGAGTCCTATTTTCTGTTCTGTAGCCATGGAAGTACTCTTCCTTCAAACAGAAGAGGCTGAGAAAGTAGGGAGTTTACTCCACTGCTCTCTAGGAGAAGAGCACTCCAGGCAGAAGGACTAGCAAGTCCAAAGAGTAGGAGCAAGAAGAGTGTTGGCTTTTCCAAGAACAGAAAGTGGGCCACAGTCACTATAACCATGAGTTGTGGGAAAGAGTGGTAGGAGGTGAGATCAGAGAGGCAGCTAAGGGGCCAGGTCATGTGCATCCTTACAGACCATGATAAAGACTTTGACTTTTATTTAGTGGGAGACCAGAAACACACAGAGTGTTTTGAGGAGGGAAATGATGGAATCTGACTTGTGTTCGGGGATCACGGTCTTCTGTTATGGGACATAGATTTGGGAGAGAAAGAACAAGAGCAGGGAGACCAGTTTAGAGACTTGAAATAATCCAGGCAAAATACCATGGTAAGGAGTATAAAATGAAGGAGGTAGTGAAGGAAGAAGTGGTCGGTTTCCAGATATGTTTTAAAGGTTGAGCCAATAGGACCTGAGAATAGATTGGATATGGTCTGGAAGAGAAAGATTGGAATCAAGGATAGTCATAAGATTTTGGGCCTGAGCCACTGGAAGAATAGAGTTGCCACATATTCATATAGAAAGACTTTGGAAGGAGAGTCTAAAGTTATGTTGTTGTGGCCATAGTTATGATTGTGATTGGGAGGGAACTGGAAATATAGAATCAAGTTTGGTTTTGGACTTACTGAGATTGAGATCCTTATTAGACACCTAAGAAAAGATGCCGGGTAGGCAGTCTGGGATTCCGAGAATAGGTCAGGATTAGACAAAAGCAATTTGCTTATCAGCAGCAGAAGATGCTCTTTTTGAGCCGTGGTACTGCATGGGTTTACTCAGGAGTGAGGGATATTGAGGTCTGAACTCATGGGTACTCAAGCTCTTAAAAGTTCCCACAAATGAGGAATATGAAGAGGATATACCTGAGGAGACTGGAAAGGACTAGTCAGTAGAATTAAGGGTGAAGGCAGAGCCAGCCAGAGAAGAGAAATCAAGAGAGGATTGTGTTCTAAAGGCAAGGTGATGAGTGTTCTGAAATAGGTGTAGTAAACATCCATGTCAGGAGAGCTGGTACCTCAGGTAAGACAAGGACCAGGACTTGATCACTGGTTTGGCCATTGTGAAGGTCTTTGAAAGAGTGGGTTCAGTGCAGTGATGGGGAAATAAGCCTGACAGCAGTGGGTTCAAAAAAATATGGGATGCCTGGGTGGCTTAGTCAGATCAGGTCAAGATCCCGGAGTCCTGGGGTAGAGTCCAGCATGAGGCTCCTTGCTCAGTGGGGAGACTTGCTTCTCCTTCTGCTGGCAACTCCCCTGCTTGTACTCTCATGCACTCTCTCTATCTGGCCAAACAAATAAAATCTTTAAAAAAGAAAAATGTGAAGGGAAGAAATAAAACAAGCAAGTGGAAACAACTAGTTGGAGTTTTGCTCTGAAGGCCCATTTATATTTCTTTCACAGAAAAAGGAATATTTTAACTTATGAGGTAAATGTGGCTGATTGATAGGTTTAATCAAAAGTTGGGGTGGAAGACAGGGTATTACTAGTTGAAGAAATAGCTTTGAATCATACTTTCTTTCAAACAAATGAATAAAAAAATAATGAATTCTACCATACAGGATGATGGTCTCTATTATTTTTCATCTGTTTTTTTTTTTCAAAATAATTATCAAAGTTCTAATTCTTTTCCACCAGTGTCCTAATTATTAATCCATATTGTAATTATCTTTGCTCTTTTCTTAATGCATGCCATACTCATATTTTATCTGTGGGGCTCCAAGGTGAAATCAGATTGGATTTTTTTCTAATTACTCTCAAGATTGTCAAAGAAGAAGCCATTAGTAGGACAATGGGAGCACACAGTATCACAGCTCCTCTTCCTGTTCTCCTCCTGGTGGAATCTGGTTGGAAAAAAGAAAAAACAGAACAACAAGAACTTAAAGGACTACCCTCATGGAGTGAAAGTACATAAAAGGGAAAGTTGGTATAGAGCAAGGGAAGAGAGATACAGAGAGAGTCGATTACCTGGACAATCACTGAAGGTTCAATCAACCTGAAAATGTTAAGTTTTGCTGCAATAACAAATAACCCTCAAATCTTAGCAGTTTACTCTACACTCTCTCCTGCTGTATGCTGTATTCACATAATCACTCAGGAACCCGAACTCTGGGACCAAGCATCGTCTTAAACATTATTGGTTCCCACGCCAGAAGGAAACTGGGAGAAACTCTTGGGGGTCCCATGTCAGCAATTAAATGCTGTGGTTTAAAAATGACATACATCATTTCTACTTGTAACCTATTGACCATATGCACTCCACTCAACAACAAGGGAATGCAGAAAGTCATCCTACCACAGACCTAAAAAAGGAAAGGACCTGAAAATATTTTCCAAATAGCACTAATATCTGCAACAGGGATAGTCTGAGTTAATTGGATGTATGTAAGCCTAAATCCGTCTAAGGCAATTCTCAACTCCAGTATTTACAATGCCCTTGAGTCACTGCCTGGTACCAGCACTGAGCTACCCTGCCTCCAGTGCCTGCAGGTGTGAAGTATATGCAAAGGGAAGCACTATGAACTAGGGAGGAGGACCCTTAGCTAGCTAGCTGCAGGGCCTTGAGCAAGTCACCTAGCACCCAGAGGCTGTGATGAGCTCACCTGTAAAATGAGGAAATCCCTCCCATCTCTTCTTGCTCTACCTTGCTTTGATTCACACGGATATGCACTTGTGGACCAGGTTGCCAGATTCACTCCTGTCCTATGGCCTGCAATGAGGTGACTTGGCCCTGCCAACCTCGGGGGTGCTGCTAAACCTGTGAGGTCTCCAGCTCAGCCCACCCTCCCCACCGCTCCGCACTCTTTTTATTTGCCTCCTTTTACCATCCACTGGGCAACATTCCCAACCTTTTTCCTACTCTTCTAACACCCCCACCCACCTCCTCCTCTGTAGACAATCCACCTCTGCAATAGCTTTTCCAGAATCTCGCTGGGAACCAGCCAGTAGCAGTGTCAATAACTTCTCCTGCTCTGTTTGTACATAGCAAAGGCTTCCATTTAACTAGAAAGACATGTTTTTTTACTTAGATTTCCCTTGAAAATACACAAGGGTTTAAATTAAGGGTAAAAATTGCGTTTTCAAATCACAAACGCTTTTGCCAAAATCCAAAATGTTTGAAAAAAAATAGGTCAAGAGGCTTTCTTAAAGCATCAGGTTTTCCCATCTGTGGTTAGATTTGTAGATCACATGTGAGACCCTTTCATGTGTGGATGTCATCGTTCCAAGAGCCTGCTGGCTGTCCCTTTTACCTCTCCAGGCAAGGGTAGAGCACCATGGGGGTGCGCTGAGTACCTGTGAGTCTGGGCAGCAGTTCCTAATTAGGGCTGATCTTGAATGTATTCCCTAACTCCCTGGGTCTCAAGAAATGAGGATGGCACCAGATTAACCCACAACTGAGCCTGGAAACTCCATGTCCTATGGCACACCGAGATTCTTGGATAATATATGGACATCCCAGTTACTCTTCCTTATCAGTAAGGAAGACAGGTGTAGGAGGTGAAAGTATCCAGATCCTTAATTTTATAGGCAAAATCAAACACTGATATCCGAAGGAGAGTAAGTTCTGTGTACATGTGTGTACACATGCAGGTGCATGTGTGTAAGTGTGAGCACCAGGGTTTGTGTATTTATGAAGATAGAGAGATTAAGAAATAATTCTGTGATATTCACAAACATGAGGTCTAAGGTTTTTTCGCTGTCTTTTTTTTGAGTATGTAGGTATGTACATGTGTATGAGAACTGACGAATTAACAAAACCTTCAACTAAATACTAAGTCAGCTTGAGAGTAGTTCAGAATGGGGCCCAATTCCACAGCTGTGTGGAGTCACAGTATTTTCTTTTCCACTGAGTTATTCATCTGGGAGACTGGGGTCATTGATGCCCAGCTGTTCTTGGGTTCCACACTAGTGAAGAGCTGCTTAAATGTTCTTGCCAGACTCACAAGAAGCTGCTGAGGTCTGGGCTCCTGGTACCCCCCAGGGCTCCTGTTGTCTGTTGGTCTCCCTTCCCTGGGCCAGTCTTCTTTCATTCATCTGAAGAGCCATGCTCTACCCTGGGCTCTGGTTAGGGAACTATCTCAGTGTCAAAGCCGGCCAAGTTGGCTGGATGACTTCGCCATGCCCTACTTTATTCTAGGACTGGGGACTCTCTTCTAGACCAGAGGTCTTCTCCCTGCTTTAAGCCTCCTGGGCTCTAGCTTACTGCCCTGTGCTTTCCACCAAGCTCATGTAGGTCTGTCATAGAGCCTGAGATCCGGAATTTCCAGGAAGCTCCCAGGTGAGACATTTGCCTTCTGGCCTGGGACCACACTTTGATCAAGCCTTCCAAGTACACCAGGGGCTGCAGCTGTTGGTACCTGGCAAGGCTGTCCCATTGGCCTCCAGGCGGCTCCGGTGACAGGCACACCTCTCAGGAGATGGGAAGATTCTAGTCCTTAGGCTGAAGAGGATTCACATTAGGTTGGGCTTTAGAAGAAAAAAGAAACAAAACAGGAAACACACAGCTTTTTCTAATTACAGATAAGAAACTAGTTATTTTAAAGAGAAAAAAGAAATGTAATAGACTAAAATTGCAGTACCCTAGGTGTATTCTAAGAAATGCCAGTCCCGTGGGATGTTAAAAGGAATTGTGAGCAAAAGAAGTTTCTATGCTCACATGAGTTCTAGAATCTAAACACCCACCGGGTTAAACAAAGTTTAATAAGTTTCTTTACTTTTCAGAGGCTTTTATAAGTTAATGTGCATTGTGGATCTCCAAAAAGGACATAAAACATGCAATGTTCCCCAAAGTGTTTTCCAAGGAAATCCCTAATTTTTTTCAGGGAGGCTAATAACACCAAAACTCCATGGATTGCCCTTTGGGAAGGGGTAGCATGAGCACAAGACAGCATCAACTTCATCAGCCCTCTTACTTCATACTTCTCTTGTCCTACAGATTACAGAATGGAAAAGTGTTTGTTTTCTCAGGTTCATTTGCTGATATCTTTGTCATTTTTTAGGCTATTCATGGGTCCATAAACATCTGGCTATTATTATTTAATTTTTCAAACAAATGTCACACATTTAAGTACTAAGGCCAGAATGTAAAAATCATGACATCTGTTCATCTCCATGTTACATAAAGACTGAAAGATGTGCCTTCCCCACTACTCACATTATAGTTAGAAGGCTTAAGGATGGGCGCAGAAGAAGGGTAAGGAGGAAGAATGTTTAAGATGATGAGAGGAATACATTTCTCTCATTGTATACCACCAATAATTTAAAAAGTATAGGAGTCTCAAACTTAAAGATGTTTGAGTAAGCTTCAGAATTTCTCTTTGAGATTCAAGAGTTTGAGCAGATATCAGGTAAACATAGAATACATAGATCCAGAGAGCAATCCCTCCTCCAAATTTTGCTGAGGGGTCTACATCCTGGTGAGCATTTAGTGAAATGGAAAAGTCAAGATAACTTCTGGGGCGTCTCTCTCTCTTTTTTTTTTTTTTTTTTTTTGAGTGAAACATGCAAGTGGAATTTCTGTGGTTATGTTGCAAGCAGGCAGGGAGAGGCAATTCATATGGTCACAGCCACAACAGTACGCAGAGGGAGCAACCAGTTCACTTAATAGCTACATTCTCAACCAAAATTCTGTTCTAATCCTTGGGAGAAATTAGATAGAAGATATGGAGCAAATGAAGTGGGGTATGTTTGTTTGTGCATGTGTGTGTGTGTGTGTGTGTGCATCTGTGTATGTGTGTCTGAGGTGGTAGGTAGCTGCAATTAGAGAAGGATGGATTTACGAATTGAATAAAACAATAAATATTGTACTTAAAAATAATAGAAGTGGAAAGTCATCCCTCCACTGTGATAGCATATTTCTAGCCCCCTGGGACTGTGGTTGGACATATCAGAGCTGGCAGAAGAGGGCCTGTAGTGTGGAGGTTGCCAGGCAGCCACAGTAAGTGAGCCTTCCTCTAAAAACTTCACTGGCCCAAGAACAAGCCCAGGCAAGTCCACAATTCAGTGGCTTACGAGCACTTTCTTATTCTAAATATCACAATGATAATTGCTAAGAATCATAAATAGAAGAAAAGGAGGCTATTTGTACTTATCTTTTCTTCCTCCTTTCCTCATGTAATACCCTTCCTCTGATTATTTCCACAGCACAAACACAAGGCACTTCCCATTACAAAGTCAATATCCGTTTCCCAAAATATAAAATTAAGAAAAAAAGTTATTTTGCCGACTTGAACACGTAAACTTTTAGGCATTTAAGTGAAATAATCAAAAATCTATTTATAATATTTAATTTATTAATTTACATATATGTGGAGTAATTGCATAAAACTGAAATAAAAGTATATATACTCATTAATTTGGAAATACTGCTTTATTCTACACTGACATTTCATGAAGTAGTCTGATTTAAATGCATCGTGTGTGTCTTGGTTGTCAGCAACTTTGCCATCATTAGAAATTCTTTTTGATTTTTTAACAATTTTCCCAAACACACTGTCTGCTCTGCCACCCAAACTTTGACAACACAGTTATTTTAAGTCCAGATGTGATGCTATCACAGAATATTTTATTCCAGACCACAAATACCCATTTCCACAATGTCAGGACAGGTTTTCTTTTTGCAACTCATTATTTATGGTTTAGAAATGATATGACCACTTACTGTATTGCCTTTTTAAACAGCTTATTTACAATGACATGCAAGACTGGAAAGGATGAGGTTGAACCACCCAAAGAAAGACGATTACACCCTGTTAATTTTCTTTGACTCCTTTTTATTAATTTAAACTTATATTAGATGACCCAACAAAACAGTTTTAGTACCCATAATAATACTTCCTGAGCCCATATCATGTCCCACTCACTGCTTAAACATGTTGCACAGTAATGGTCTCAGAGGATGGCAGTTGAGGCTTCCTGCTCAGGTATAGCTGTGGAAGAGGCAGAAGCAGCACCCTGTGGTCTACTGAGACTATCAAATGGTTTCCACTTGTGTGTGCGTTACTGCTGTTTCATTATCTGGTTACCAAATGTGCACACACGTGCGCGCAAACACACACACACACAGAAAAAGTCCAATATCTCATTTTCTCAGAGGGAAATACAAAGACAAGATCTTAACAACAGCATGTCATTATTTTAGATTAGTGGTTCTCTGCTCTGTCTGCACATTAGAATCCTCTAAGAAGCTTTTCAAAGATACTGATGATACCCAGGCCTCACCCCAGAATGACTAAGGCAGAATCTCTGGGGTGGAGTCAGACCATCAAAAGTTTTTAAAGTTCCACAGGTGATTCTAATTTATAGCCATATTGAGAACCAAAGTTTGAGAATATCAGACAAGCCAAATGTCCTCATATCTTGACCTGGGTAACACAAATGTCCTAATATCTCTAAGTAGGAAGGTGGGAAGTTCTCACTATGCTCTTCCAGTTTTCTGCAGATTTTCAGAAGTTCTCTTTATATGACTGCCTGGTTGGAACCTTGTTTTTCCTTTTTATGCTTCCAATCTTTCTTTGCCCCATCCTTTAAAACACCTGTACACTTAGAATGTAACCAAGTTCTCCTGGACTAACAGCACCACCCAGAGATTGGTGCAGGGAATTTATTTCCTTACCAGCCTCCTTCCTACTCACTAGGGCATGCACCCCCAACTCCTCAAGTCTGTAGCTGCCTGCCTACACTCACAAGCATATTTCTTATCTCGTATCTTCCAGTCTTTAGTTGATAACACTAGAGATATTCTCTTTCTGATGCAGCAAATTTCCTTCCAATAAAGTCCATATAACAAAATAATAACTTCCCTTTTTTTAACCATATTCTGTATCATACATTGTACTTGGCACTTCATATAGCTATCTATTATGTCTGCCTCATGATGAACCTAGGCAAGCTCACTTTGCAGATAAGGACAAAAGACTTAGAGAGAAAAAGTAACCTCCCCAAGATTACTCAGGTAGCAAGTGATAGATCTGGGATTCAAGTTCCGATATATGTGACTAGAAGTTCTGAACTCTACTATTGCCATACACTCTAGTTCCACTGGCATGCAACTTACAGTTACACATAGCCCCTTATGCCTGGTTTAGTGCTCTCTGTTACTGTCCTGAAGTTGTTAATAATTTTTAGCAAGAACCCCCACATTTTCATTTTGCCCTGGGCCCCACAAACTAGGTAGCCAGTCCTTTTCCTCCACTCCTACAAAAAATAAAGACCAGTCATCCCATTTCCTTTGATAATCAAAACTCAAATTATGATTATTTAAGAAAAAAAAGAGAATTCAAATTTAAAATAAATTTGTGAACTAGGAGATAGATCAAAATTACCCCATCTGAAGAATAGAGAGAAAGAAGAAGACCAAAAAAAAAAAAAAAAAAAAAAAAAAAAAGGAAGAAAAAGATGAAGAACAACAACACAAAAACAGCAACAATGTCTTAGGGAACTGTGGTCCAAATGAAAAAGTCAGAAGTGAAGAGAATGGAATAGACGAATTACTTGAAGAAATAATGTGCAAAAATGTCTAAAATTTGATAAAACACACACACTTACAATTTAAATAAGTTCAATAAACTTCACACAAGATAAATGGAAAGAATGCTATATTCCTATCTACAAGAAATAAACTTTATATCTAAATATTGTAAACTGAAAGTAAGTGGATAGGAAAATATATACCATGCAAATAGGAAAACTAAGAAAGCTGGAATAGCTATACTAATATCAGATGAATTAAAGTTTGAGACAAAGACAGTTGCCAAAGCAAAGAGGTACATTTCATACTGATAATATATCCAATTCATCAGTAAGATTTCTAGTTATAAATATGTATATGTCTAAATAACAGAACTTCAGAGTACATGGAACAATATTGACAACTACATGGGAAAAAGAAAATCCCACAAGCACAGTTGGAGAGTGTAACATCCCTTTCTCAGACACTGATAGACCAATTAGACAAAATAGTTTAGTAAAGACACAAAAGGTGAATAACATTATTAACTCTCTGGACTTGATTGATATTTATAAAGCACCTCATTTAAAATATAATAGAATAGTCATTCCTTTTAAGAGCACATTTTCACCAAGAAAGGTGATCTGGCTGGTCATAAAATCTCAATAAATTAAACAGGATTAAAATCATGCAAAGTATATTCTTTAATTACTATGAAATCAAATTAGAAATTAATAATAAGATATATAGAAAACCTCAAATTTAATTAGAAATTTAATAAGACACTTCTAAGTAGTTTAGGGATCAGAAAAGAAATTATAAGAATTAAAAATATCTAAAACTGAATGAAAATAAAGATAAAATATATTGGAATTTACAAAATGCATCTAAAGCAGTTCTTAGAGGAAAATTTATAGCTTTGAATGTTTATATTACCAAAGAAGTCTGGTCTAAAATTGATGACTCAAGATTCTACTTCAAGAAGACAAAAAAGGAGATAGAATAAACTCATAATAATTAAAAGAAAGGAAATAATAAAGATAAGAAATCAGTAAACAGACAATAAAGAAATTTAACAAAACCAAAAACTGGAAGAGACCATCAAGGTTGATAAATGCCTAATAAGACTGAGGAGGAGGGGAAAGAGAGAGAAATAAAGAGCACAGATTATTAG